TTGAAAGAAATCGGTTCGGTGAGAGCTGAGAAAAAGTGGTAACAGACACAAACAAAAAAAAAAAAAAAAAAACACATCTTAGTAAAACCAATACCTTCTCAGCTTCGCATCGAAGCTAAAAATGATTAAAATAACTGTTATTTTAAAAATTATATTTTTTAAAAAAAGGCGCATTTTAAAATCCCTCACATATTAAAAAAAAAAACACCAAATGAAAGGGATACATCTAAGATATTAATAATAAAAAATTTGTTTGATCTATTTATTTATCAAAAAGTATGAAAAATGTTGAAATTTGTTGATTTCAAAAGTCATAATTTTTTTGAGATTTGTTCAATTTACCGGGAACGGGGTAAATTTTTTCAATTTTTAAGAGCAATGTCTTCAACAAAATTCGATTTGTAATCGTATGACATATTGTTCATTAAAATCGGTCCAGTAAAAGCTGAGAAAAGTTGGCGACAGACATAAAAAAAACATTTCATAGTAAAATTAATTTCTCTTCAATTTCGCATCGAAGTTAAAAAATCTTGAATATATTAAAATTGAGCACAGGAACAGCGATGAATTGCTAAGCGAAAACAATTTTTAGTTGGGACAGTATCTAATATTTCCCTATAAATGAAGAATCGTCTATCTGCCCTTCTATGGATTTGATTGAATTACAGCGATTGCTCTTACATCAATAAATAATATACTTACTTTGATTTTTGTTATATCTTTTTAGAACTAATTGACGGGTAATTTTTTTTTTATTAGAAAAATTTTTTTCATTATTTTTATAACCCATTTAAAAAAACCAAGTACAACACCACACTTTAATAATAATTTTAGCCAAAATGTTTGAAAATATTTCGTACAACTCGGGACAAGCAGTGCTGCAGTAGATACGACAAAATTAGTTTTGCTTAACTCACTCTAAGCACATAAAGCATAGAGTTGGGATACATTTATGATTTTTTTTAAACAAAGGACTTGGCATAATATCTTTATTCACTAGTAATAGGAGAAATGCAGATATTATATTGTCATCAGGAACGATATTTAATAAAAATTCTGAAAAGTAATAACAATTCAAACATTGAGTGCCGGCATAATAAAATTGGTCCGCACGTGTTAGCGAAATTATTTAAAGAAATATTGATAACGTTTTCGGCGAAATATCGAGTTACACCGCACGCCGCACCATCACCTGTTCATATTTTTAAAATATAATGAATAGGAACAGCACTAGTCGACAAAAAAATCTACAAAAGTTGTCTAAAACATATCTTAAAAGAATGCATTTTACTCACTCTGTATTACATTTAGAGCTTTAACATCTATTACAAAATTGAAAGTGGAAAATATTTCGAAGATAATCTCATAGCCATTTTAGGATTAACCTAATAGTAAGCTTGATAATTGAATTTGAAAATGTTTTTTTTTATTAAACTTCAATCAATTATAACTCTTTACTAATACAATATATCCAAAAACGTATATGAGATCATTTCCAAAATACTGTTCTCTTTCGTTTTTATAATGGGTGTTATTACTCAAAGTGCAGTACTTAGTGTCTAAAATGCATTTTAAAAAGACATGTTTTTACGCTCTAAAATTGGCTGTATAACGTCCTCTTGACACACTTATATTAGTTTCACACTTGTGTTTGCTTGTAACTCTCCACGCGCCACGTGTTATTATTTTCGCGTATCCCGTCATCTATGGCCTTGAGACTAGACTATCTTACGCATTCACCCCGACCCGCTCACCTCACACCACAACAATATTTTTCTGTGTAATTTTATTTTTGATTTTCGTACCTGTACACGCGTGTCTTTCATCAATATTATATGTATGAATATATTAACAAATTTTTAATCACCATTCGTGCCACCTTTATCAGCCGTCGCCCTACTATGAGTATTTTTGCTTGATTAACCAATACCGCGTGCCATACGACTCATGTATATATATTCCTACTGCCGCTGTCGCCGTTTATCCCTCGGGAATAGCGTTCCCACCGCACACCACCCGCCAACAAAACACGGCTGTAGCTCTTGAATGATACGTTTACGTACTGAAGTCGCCTTACTATATATATGTATTAGGGTGACCCTTAGCTACATGAGAGGTTTTTTTTTTTTTAATATTTGTAAGTGCCACCCCCTAAAATTATTCGAATACATGAAAAAATAAATTGTACAAAATTTGGAGACTATTGGTCAACTCTAAGACGTGCCCCAAGGGGGTTAAAAATAACCCCCAAGGGTGATTTTTTAGTTTTTTTTGTCTATCTCAAAAAAAAAAAGTTCAAATAAACTTTTTCGCAAAAGCTAAAGTTTTTGAGATAGACAAAAAAAACTAAAAAATCACCCTTGGGGGTTATTTTTAACCCCCTTGGGGCACGTCTTAGAGTTGACCAATAGTCTCCAAATTATGTACAATTTATTTTTTCATGTATTCGAATAATTTTAGGGGGTGGCACTTTGTAATT